CGGGGCCGCGATCGAAGGGCGGCGGCGGGGCCGCGTAGCAGAGGGCGGCGGGGCCGCGATCGAAGGGCGGCGGGGCCGCTAGGGAAGGGCGGCGGAGCCGCGAGGGGAAGGGCGGCGCAACGGTCCGCTAGGGGCGACACGACGGGTCGCTAAAAAAAAACGCGCCTCGGGGCGCGGTTCGGTGGGCCCTAGAAGCAGTCCCTAGGAGGGAACCTGCTCTGATTCCATGTGGAAACAAAGAACGAGAATGGAATGACTATGAACGAAGTGAGTACAAATAGGAAACCCTAATGGGGTTGTACCCCCTATGGGATACCCCACTATAGCCTACAGAAACAAGTAAGCTATAAGTTCTGACACTCCCCTCCGTAATGCACTGTCTTTTGGCCGTCTCATTTCCCTCTCCCCATGTCACCCTTTTCCCCAACTCTCCGGTTGAACCCAACCCCTTCCGACCACCTCTGTCTATCCGGCGTCCCCCCTCCTCTTCCCCCGCGCGCTCCCCCACGCCCCTCAGGGCAAGTGCTGGATGCGCTGAAGCAAGCATGGGGGGGAGCAAGAGTGTTCCAAGCAGCGGCTGTCAGAACATTATAGCTTACTTATTTGTGTAGGCTATAGTGGGGTATCCCATAGGGGGTACAACCCAATTAGGGTTTCCTATTTGTACTCACTTCATTCATAGTTCATTCATCCTCGTTCTTTTTTTCACATGGAATCAGAGCAGGTTCCCTCCTAGGGACTGCTTATAGGGCCCACCGAAGCGCGCCCCGAGGCGCGTTTTCCTTTTTTTAGCGACCCGTCGTGTCGCCCCTAGCGGCCCGTCGCACCGCCCTTCCTTAGCGGCCCCGCCGCCCTTCGATTGCGGCCCCGCCGCCCTTCGTTCGCGGCTCCGCCGCCCTTCCTTAGCGGCCCCGCCGCCCTTCGATCGCGGCCCCGCCGCCCTCTGCTAAGCGGCCCCGCCGCCCTCTGCTAAGCGGCCCCGCCGCCCTCTGCTAAGCGGCCCCACCGCCCTCTGCTACGCGGCCCCGCCCCGCCATTCGATCGCGGCCCCGCCGCCCTCTGCTAAGCGGCCCCGCCGCCCTCTGCTAAGCGGCCCCGCCGCCCTCTGCTAAGCGGCCCCGCCGCCCTCTGCTAAGCGGCCCCGCCGCCCTCTGCTAAGCGGCCCCGCCGCCTTGCTCACGCGGCCCCGCCGCCCTCTGTTAGGCGGCCCCGCCGCCCTCTTCTACGCGGCCCCGCCGCCCTTCCTTCGCGGCCCCGCCGCTCTGCTCTCGCGGCCCCGCCGCCCTCTGCTTAGCGGCCCCGCCGCCCTTCCTTCGCGGCCCCGTCGCCCTTCCTGCACGGCCCCGCCGCCCTACCTGCGGCCCAGCCGCCGCCCTACCTACACGGCCCAGCATCAGCCGAGCCGCCCAGCCGCAGCCGAGCGGCCCAGCATCAGCCGAGCCGCCCAACCGCAGCCGAGCGGCCCAGCATCAGCCGAGCCGCCCAGTCGCAGCCGAGCCACCCGGCGGAAGCCGAAGCGCCCGGGAGCCGCCGAGCAGCCCAGCAGCAGCCGAGCCGCCCAGCAGCAGCCGGGCCGCCCTGGAGCAGCCGAGCCGCCCAGGAGCAGCCGAGCCGCACAGGAGCTGCCGAGCCGCCCAGCAACCGCCGAGCCGCCCGACCTGCCCTGCGCGGTGAGCCGTACCGCTGTCACTGCGTGCCCTTCTCCTCCTGCTTCCTCTCTTCCTGCTCTTGCCGACCCGGAGTCGGACTCTCTTCGTGCTGCCATTCCTACTGTCACGCGTCTTCTTGCTACTGCTGTCACTGACCATTCTTTCGAGTCTTCTGCTGCGTCTGCCCTTGTCACTGAGCTCGTCGACTTTGCTGCGCGCTGTCGTCTAGACTACGCTGCTAGTCTTGTCGCTAAGTCTGAGTCTGCCTGTTCTCCGTCCGTCGGGGGTGAGTGTGCCCTTGGCACGGACGTCCTTGAGGACAGGCAGGAGGAGTTCCAGTGTCTGGCCGCTGCTTCACCTCATCTCGCGTCTGTACTGCTCGCCCCTGAGGGAGACCCGGATGCACTAGACATCCCGACTCCGCGCTCTTACGCGGAGGCGATAGAGGGTCCCTACTCCTCTCAGTGGCAGGCAGCTATGGATGCAGAGATGGCTTCCTGGAAGTCCACAGGCACCTACGTTGACGCTGTTCCCCCTTCTGGGGCGAACATAGTCAGTGGCATGTGGATCTTCAGGGTGAAGCGGCCGCCGGGTTCTCCGCCTGTCTTCAAGGCGCGTTACGTGGCTCGTGGCTTCAGTCAGCGGCAGGGAGTTGACTACTTTCAGACCTTCTCCCCCACCCCGAAGATGACCACTCTTTGGGTACTGCTGCACGTTGCTGCTCACCGTGACTACGAGCTGCACTCTCTCGACTTCAGCACTGCTTTCTTGCAGGGCAGCCTGCACGAGGAGATCTGGCTGCGTCGCCCACCTGGCTTCACTGGGTCTTTCCCTCCTGGTACCCAGTGGAGTCTCCGGCGTCCAGTCTACGGTCTCTGCTAGGCGCCACGTGAGTGGCACGACACACTGAGGACTACGCTGGCGGCACTCGGGTTTGCTCCTTCTACTGCCGACCCGTCGCTGTTTCTGCGCACCGACACCTCTCTGCCGCCGTTCTACATCCTCGTGTACGTCGACGACTTGGTCTTTGCCACAGCTGACACTGCTGGACTCGCCTACGTGAAGTCCGAGCTGCAGAAGAGACACACGTGCACTGACCTGGGTGAAATGCGCAGCTACCTTGGCTTGCAGATCACCCGGGACAGAGCACGCCGCACCATTACCCGGACTCAGTCACACATGGTGCAGCAGGTCCTTCAGCGCTTCGGCTTCACGTACTCCTCGCCTCAGGCCACTCCTCTGCCTACTCGCCACTCGCTCTCAGCTCTGCCTTCGGATGAGTCCGTAGAGTCGAGTGGCCCGTATGCAGAGCTTGTTGGCTGCCTCATGTACCTGATGACCTGCACACGACCTGACCTTGCATACCCTCTTAGCATTCTTGCACGCTATGTTGCTCCTGGGAGACACCGACCAGAGCACATGGCTGCAGCGAAGAGGGTGTTGCGCTACTTGTGCAGTACGTCGGGCATGGGGCTAGTGCTTGGAGGGCGCAGTCCAGTGGTCCTCACTGGGCACGCGGACGCTTCTTGGGCTGACGACCAGGCTACGCAGCGGTCGTCACAGGGTTACACCTTCAGCCTTGGTTCCGGCTCTGTTTCGTGGCAGGCTACCCGCTCGTCTTCTGTTCTCGGCTCCAGTTGTGAGGCTGAGATCTACGCCGTGGCTATGGCTGCACAGGAGTTACGCTGGCTCACCTACCTGCTGACCGACCTTGGAGAGCCGCCTCGTTCTCCTCCAGTCCTGTTTGTAGACAACAAGGCCATGCTGGCCTTGTGTCGAGAGCAGCGACTGGAGCACAGGACAAAGCACATTGCTCTCCGCTACTTTCTTGCTCGTGAGCTACAGCAGCGTGGACAGTTGCGACTTGCGTACGTGGCCTCTGAGGCCAACACTGCTGATGTCTTCACCAAGGCACTTGCGCCTTGTGATCATCAGCGTTGCTGCACGCAGCTGGGTCTTGTGCCTGTCTTGCCTCACTTGCTCTCTTCTTGACCTTGCTTGTACCTTCACCTATAAATACTCTTGCTCTTGCTTGCTTGACTCTTGTATATCTCTATATATGTTCTTGCATGTGAACTGGCCTTCTGGCCTTTGAACTTGTGCTCGGAATGTGTGGTGACTTTGTGATCCACCCTGAGCTTTGCTTTGCTTTGCTTGACTGGTCTTGTGACCCCTTGTTCTCCCCCACTTTGCCTATGGGGGTGTGTCAGAACATTATAGCTTACTTATTTGTGTAGGCTATAGTGGGGTATCCCATAGGGGGTACAACCCAATTAGGGTTTCCTATTCGTACTCACTTCATTCATAGTTCATTCATCCTCGTTCTTTTTTTCACAGCGGCAACATGGACAGAGGGCGCCATGTGCGGGACACTGGCAGGCGTGCTCTGTGACTTCAGCGGCCAGTTCATCCACAGCCTGTTAGTTGCCTGCTTGCGTGCCTTCCTCCCCGCCCGTATGCTACCCTCGCACTCTTCCTACCTGCTTGCCTGCTCGCCTGCCTACCCATATGCCCCCGGAGTCCCCATGTGCCTGCGGATTCTATTGAGACGTGGCAGAAACAGTCTTAATGTATGCGCCGCGCCTCCCCCTCTTCTTCCTGTGTCCCACATGGCATCTCGTCCCTCGTCCACGCTATGGTGTGGTGCGAGCAGGGTGTTGGAGTCGCAGAACCTCACCAGGTCCATCTCAGAGGCCATTACAGGGCTCGCCGCCAGACGATACTTCAATGCCCAACCGCAATCATTCCAAGCGGCCAGGTTCCTGCACCTCTTCAGGCAACGCAGTTCATGTGCTTTCCAACGGGCACAACCAGTTGGGTACTTGATCAAATCAAACCAAGCGGCAGCTCCACAAACCCCCCCCATGGGAGGGGTACAGTCTGAAATGCACTTGGGAGACTCTTGTGCGGTTATTGAGCCCCTTATGGAGCTGTAGATTGGAGGTTGTTAGCTTTTTGTGTTTTTGTGTGTTAGCTAGATCCGGAATACAGAGGACCATTAGAGAGAGATAACTACTCGCCGAGACTGCTGCGTGTAGGCACTTTAACGCCGAGCCCAAGTCTTACCAAGCTGCCAAACTCTTACACCAATACCGGCAGCGGTAGTCAGTGGCTCAACCACTTCTATATTTTTCTCACCTCTCATCATCACCCTCCTTCGTGTCCACTCTGCTATTGCACTTTCTCTTCAATCTCCCCCATCTCTTGCATCTCCTCCGCTCACCACCAGCGGCATCGGGCCCATGCAACAAAGCAGCCAGGAGTGACGCCTCAGGCTCGCTCTTCAACCCCTGTGGAAACTTTGCCTGCGTGGTGGAGGGCAACACCAACCGCTGCCTCTGCACCGATCCCATGTTCATTGAAGCCACCAACGCTGATGGCTCCCGCACCTGTGCCTATGGTGGGTGTGTGGCTCGCATCTTGCATCTTTCATCTCTCATCTTTGAGTCAACTCAAAAATCGACTTCACCTGCGTGCGTGGTGGGGGGCAGCACCAACGGCTGCCTCTGCACCGACTCCCAGTTCATTAAATCCACTCGCCTCACGGCTCCCACACCTGTGCCTCTGGTAAGGATGTGGCTTGGCTTACGTCTCCCATCTCCCATCTTTTATCTCTTGACTTCCATCTCGTGTTTCCCATCTCCCATCTTCTATTTCAAATTGTCATAGCTTTTCTCTGCTGTTGCTTTGAGCAAGCACTGTAAGTTTAATCGTGGGATGGTTTTTCCTGTGGTCCAATGTTGGAAGTGCTATATCAGCAACACAAGATTGTGAGCTTGTATCATTCTTGGGGTTTTCACTGTCTGAGTTTCTTGTGTGTTCTTTGTCAAAACAACTACCTTCAAAGTTGCTCTTTATTCATCCGTTCTTCACGATTGCATTGCAAACCATTCTGTCCATCCGCGCCATTCTTTAAGGAATGCATAAAAGATCAGGGTAGAAGCAAGGGCCTTTTTTTTCCAAATGAATCTCCTTCGATAATTCCTGGCCTGCTTTCATCCATCGTGACCCGTCCGCACTGCAGTGGACGTGTGTGAGGCGTTGTTCCGCAACCCATGTGGGGTGGGCACGTGTGTGAATTACGGGGTGGGGTCGTACTCGTGTGTGTGTCCACCGGGCTTCAGGCAGGGCACCACCGTCGATGGCACCTTCTCCTAAACCCAAGTACTTTCTCTTGTGCTCTAGGTACCTTCTCGTTCTCCTGTGCTTCAGGTACCTTCTCGTTCTCTTGTGCTTCAAGTACCTTCTCGTTCTCCTATGCTCCAGGTACCTTCTCGTTCTCCGGTAGGTACCTCTCCCACCCATTATGTTCGCTCACCGTCATGCCCGTTCATGTATGTGGTGTCACTTCTCTTCCACTGTGCAGAGCTTTGGCCTCTCTTTCGTTCTTGTACTTTGACTGGCACTAAACGATTTGTTAAGCGATGTTGCTGTATCATTGCTGCCGAATCTATGTTGCATTGCTGGTTTGTTTGAAACACATGCAACACGAATGTGCAAGGCAAAGTTTTGTGTACGCGTCTTTAGGGGCGCTTCAAAAGTTGCTGACGGGCTGCTCTCTTGGTGGTGTGCTGTTTGGTGCTTGCTGTTGTTTCTATCTCAATCTGCTGCTGGTGTCCTTTTTGTTGTTTGCTTGCAACACACATATTAAGAACCTGCCTGCTCCACGTGCCACCTGTGCTCCTGTGCGCCTTGCAAATGAGACATCTGTTCTAGTAATGCCATGTGTGGTGCGTTTTCTCTTATTTCTCTGTCTCGTTTGCTAGTCTGCATGCAATTGACTGTGCAACCAACGTGCAATGTAACTCTTGCCCCTGCAGGTAACACTCGCTTGCAGTACATATGCGCAGATACCTATTCCCTTTTTCGGCCTCGCCCGTAACAGTCCCTCTGCGCTCAATGTCCTGTGCGACGTGCTCTGCTGTGTAACACTCTCCCTTGCAGGCGACACTCGCTCACAGTATACGATCCGGGCGCCCAGAATCTTTTGCTTAGACATCTACCCTCTCTACGGCCTCACCCGTGACAATTTCACCTCGCTCAATGTGAGTGAACGGCACACATGGTGTCGTCGCCGCCGCCGTTGTTGCTTGTGCCACAAGCATTCTACCCTGTTTGATCCGTGAGTCGTCTCAGGAGCCATCCCTGCTCTGCCATGTGATGTGTTCTGCTCAGGAGCCATCCCTGCTCTACCATGTGATGTGTCCTGCATGTGCTTTGTTGCTTTGGTTCATCCTTTAGTCTGCATGTTCCCCGTCTCATCAATCCCTCCATCTTCTTCGACTTCGTCTGCTCAATCTCTAACTTGTCAAAATTTCTTTACCCCCCCCCACCACCATCACGCCTGTATGGATGCAGCCCACTGTGAACTGCATTAGCCTCTGTCTATCGGCCTGATACTCACTGTCGTCATCCCAAAGACCGAACTTGCCTTTTTTAGGTGCCTGAAGAATCTCCCCCACCCACCCTCCCCGTCCCCCGTGTATCGATGCAGCCCACTGTGAACTGCATTGAGCCCCTACCCGTAGGCCTGGTGCTCACTGTCATGCCCAAGCCAGGACTCACCCCCTGCACCGTCTACTACACCACTGTCCAGGTAGGCAACGAGGTGACTCTCCAGTCGACTCAAGAGTTATCTGCAACGAACCACGAACCCCTGCCCGTAGGCCTGATAACTCATGTTGTGCCCTAGCCCGGACTCCCCCCGAGCTCTGTCTACTACACCACTTTCCCGATAGGCAACGCTTGTTGGGCTTGGGCTTTAAGGCGACTATAAGGTCATCTACAGCACTGCACCGCAGTGTGCGAGCGGGTCTCCAACCGCTCGAGAGGTGTGTGTGGATCAAGGCGCTCGAGAGGTGTGTGTGGATGGTTATCAAGGAGCTCGAGAGGTGTATGTGGATGGTTATCAAGGCGTCGTACGGGCTCCGCGCCGTAAGGGCTCCGCGCTTCGTGAAACATTCTGAATTTTTTTTTTTTTTTTTTTTTTTTTTTTGCGTCGACTCAAAATTACACTATGAATCCATTTCTTAGTCGAATGAAGAAACGCGGTTGGAGAGTGGGTACATGTGGCTGCTCGTCGTGAAACGCTTTATCTCCCTTATTGCGCTTCTAATCATGGGTCCTTCCTTTCGCGTGAAACCCTCCTCTTGGATTCCTTCCTTGCGTCCTTCCACATCCTGTGAGTTATCCTATGATGCACCACAATAGAACGAGATACAATCACCCAGGCCAATACATACCGTCCAATCTAATCACCAAAACCCACACCTCTAGTTGGTTGTTGAGAACTCCCAATAAGCAAGTATCACGAAACCCCACCCACCACCCCTATTCCATGTCCACTTGTCGCCTCAGCCTCCCCTTAAGCTAATCTGATTCTCGACCGTTAACTCACCACCTGCTTGGAAGTCTCTCTGTCTCCCTCCCTGGCCTCTCCTCTCCCATTGCCCTTCTGCCATCCCATCCTATTCACTACCATCACCATCGCCCTCCTCCCACCAGTGAAACTCCGCCCATCACCGAGACGACACGTGCCAGTCCATAGGAGCGTACTTCAACCTCAACGGTTGCCTTAACAACAACAACAACAACCCCTCGTTCGCCACGGTCATCCAAAGCCTCAACCCGGCCCTCAGCTGCCAGGCCGGCACACAGGTGCTGCCCACCCAGGCGGTGTGTGTGGAGCGGTGGGCAGGGGCATGGAGGGGGCAGGTGATCTCGGTGTGCTCGCAGTACTATCTAGTGCAGAGCGGTGAGATGTGCGAGGCCATCCGCGCTGTGCCCTCCCCGCCGCTCTCCCCGCTCGACCTCTTCCGCCTCAACCCCGGCATCAAGTGCAGCCGCCTCGTGCCGAATACTGCTGGCCTGGACTTGCACACGGGCTTTGAGGTACGATTACGAGGTATAAGAAGCCTTGCATGCCACATGCCCACACGCCTCAAAAGTTCTCCATTCATGCATGACCTTACTGGGCTGCAACGAGGCCTGCATGTGGTGCTGCGTGGCCTTGCATCATGCACAGCACAGCACAACACAACACAGCACAGCACAGCACAGCCCAGCCCAGCCCAACGCAGTGCAGCGCAGCAGGAGCACAGCATAGCATAGCACACCACAACGCTGCACAGCGCAGCACAGCACAGCGCGGTCCCGACTAATTCTTTCTTGTCGCGGCCTCCCATTTTGGTTATGTGCGTCCTATTGCAGGCGTGCATACAGGTGTCGGGTGAGTACACTGTGGGGATCTGCCCAAAGAGCAAGGGGCTCACAGCAAGTGGGAGCGAGCGCTGCAGCTTCATCCATATCAAATACTTCAGATGCATTCGGGCAGGCCCTCAGATATCAGCGTAAAACACGCTGATTACGCTGATTTTGTAGCTGTGATTTTCGTTTTCCCTTAAAATTCAGCATATGCTTCAATTTTGCACTGAGATTTCAATATCACCTACCTTGTCACACGGACCATTTTGCGTGTTTCTGTACAAGTAACACTGACGAATCAGTAAAGTGACGTGAGTCACACTAAAACGGAGTTGACCGCGTGGAGGGGGGGACGGGGGGGGGGGGGGGCGGGGGGGAGGGGGGATGATAGGGTACGCGTGTACAATCTGTACCTTCCCGTGATTCCTGAGACCCCACCCACGCACTTGGCATTTTTTCGCATGCACTGCATAGATATCAGGTGCACGCCGAAGTGTTTAGCCTCGCTGGAACCTATCACAGTGTTAAGATAAGGACCTTAGGGTTTAGGACTTAGAGTTAGGATGGTATCGAGAGGGAGAGAAGATTGGCCAAAAGAGAGCATTCACTAAGGAATGATAACAAGATATAGGATAGGGGAGAGGATAGGGTACACCACCAGCAGTTGAACCTAATAACTAACTAATACACTAGCAAGTTGTAGGCAGTTAGGATATGCAATATAATTGAACACACCCCCGTAACTGCCTACGGCTATAGCTAGTGGTGTCTGGCACCAGGTCGCCTGGAGAGCGGTTGATGTAGCTGGGATAGGCACAGAAACAGCGGTGGCTAACCAGTAGCACCTGTGAACGCCAGAACGGAGGAGGGCGCGGAGGGCGCGGAGGAGGGCTGGGATAGCCGGAGGGCAAAGGATGCTGGTCGCTCGCCATCTACGAGCAAACACAACTGTTGGTAAGGAGGAGGAAGCTGGTGGTGGTGCACAGGAGGAGAGTAGAGGAGAGGCGGCTGGAGGAGAGGAGAGAGGAGGAGGAGATGCGGCTGGAGGAGAAGAGGAGAGGAGAGGAGAGGAGAGGAGAAGAGGAGGAGGAGAGGAGAGGAGAGGAGAGGAGAGGAGAGGAGGTGGCTGGCTCGGCAGAAGCTCTCCCGCCACCCCCTCATCCCCCTCCCCCCCATGCGCTGGCGCTGGCGGAAGTGCTGGCGCTGGGCGCTGGCGTCGCGCTGGCGATTGCGCCCGCCGTTGGCGCTAGCGCTGGCGCCCGCCGTCGGCGCTGGCGACCGCCGTTGGCGCTGGCGCCCGCCGTTGGCGCTGGCGCCCGCCGTTGGCGCTTGCGCCCGCCGTTGGCGCTTGCGCTGGCGCCCGCCGTCACCTCGCTGGCACGCTCGCCACTGGGAGAGCGTGACGGGGCAGGTGAAAGGGGGCGGCGCGACGGGTGCTGCAAAGGGAGAGGATTTCGAGCCAGCAGCGGATTTCGCGCTACTAGCAGCCATGCCAGCAGCACAATAAGTCGCCATGGCAGATCGCGGGTTTGGTGGGCCCATGAAAACGAGGTCCTAGGAGGGACCACGCTCTGATAGCATGTTAAGATAAGGAGCTTAGGGTTTAGGACTTAGACTTAGGATGGTATCGAGAGGGAGAGAAGATTGGCCAAAAGAGAGCATTCACTAAGGAATGTTTACAAGATATAGGATAGGGGAGAGGATAGGGTACACCACCAGCAGTTGAACCTAATAACTAACTAATACACTAGCAAGTTGTAGGCAGTTAGGATATGAAATATAATTCAACACACAGCAACAACACCACACATCTTGTACTGGGGATTCAGCTATAGTTTTTTGTGATTACACTATTGGTTCAGTTAACTTATGATTTTTACACTGGCAAAAGCAGTATAAAAAAGTCCCTGGTGTTTTGGGGGTACAGCCATACCTGAAGAGAGAGGACAAGCTCTAGGCATCTTTTGCGAAGAGGGCAGCTTCTGATGAGCCGAAACGAGCTTTCATGTATTTGCATACACCTTCAATTTTCATCACTTGCGTATCGTTCAATTACAAGTAGCAACAGCGCCTACACCGGGGCAGCTTGATTCGGCGAGTTTGGTGATACCCATGGCTCCATGCAGCATGTCACACCACAAAACTGTTGTGAATGGCACGCTCTTCACGTGCCACGCTACTGTGCCACTCCAACCCCTTCCCCTCAAAACACCCTCGACACATTTTCCCAAGAACCCATCCAAACCACTCAACTCCTCCAAAGCCTATTCCAACCACTCAAGTTACAAACTTTTTTTTTCCAACTCATCCTCTCCAACTCAAGCCTATCAACCACCTCTTTAACTACTCCCAACCACCATAGCCTTTTCTAGTCCAACTCAACCAATATTCAAACCAACTTCCCATACTCATCCTCAAGTCCCACCATAAGGCACATGACTCCTCATGATTTTCCATGTGCTTTCCTTTCCTACTCATCAAAGCTTACCCAAGTCATTTACCTCCTCCAATTATCCTCCTCCCATGTGCCTTCAAGCACATGCTTCCACTTCCTAGTCATCAACCTCCACATGCCTCTCATTTATTCCTTCCTTCCTTTCTTTCCCAAGTCACCAAAGTTGCCACCTCATCCCTAAGGACTTCATGATTATCCCATCACCTCCTCTTACAAGGCAACAAAGCTCATCATCTCCTCCACTCATCCTTATCCAACTCACTAAGCTCTCTTCCAACTCAACAAGGCTTACATCTCCAACTCATCAAGTGCTCAACCACCATCACATGCTCCAATACTATTCATCTACATCAAGCATCTCTACAACTTCTCAAGAAGGTTCTTCAATGACAACAATGCATTCCAAGCTTCTTCACCAAGCTCATTTCCAAGCTTCTCCTTCAAGCTCCTCTTCTACTACAAAGGCTCCTCACTAGCAACCAAGTTCTATGTCTCCAAAGTTGATACTTTCATGCAACTCTCTTACAAGGCTACCATTGATGGTTACTCTCTCTATGCATGCCTATGTATCCCTCATGGATCTATAAGGCTTGTACTATACCTCTTTCAATATAAGTTTATGCTCACAAAGTGTCTCTCATTAGTCCACAAAGTTAAGCATCAAGTGAAGAGTAGTCACCTCATATTCTACTTGAGTATAAGGTTCATTACTACCTACAAGCTTGAGGAAGGCTCATCACCCAACACCAAGCTTGATGTTCTTCTTCAAGTAAAGCTCTCAAGACCAAGCCATTCATACAAGTCACCTCTACAACTATCCCTAGTAAGAAGTAAGTGCTTATCAACTCTCTTATTCTCTCAACAAGCTCATACTCTCTTTCTCTTTTTTGATTTCTTATCTCATCAAGCATTCCACCTTACACAAGTTTCTCTTTATAGTCATAAGTTCTAAGTATCATATTCTCTTCTATCAAGCTCATCCTCATTTGCTACAATTCCGCTGTTAACTCTTGTCTTATTCTATTGTGCAATCAGGGCGTATTCCTGCACTTTGGGTCATCAGCGATTCGGGCCATCCGAAATTGTGGGATCCAATCGGAAATTCGGAATCGAGAGACTGGGGTGCATTCCGATTTTCCTATTGGATCCCACAATCTCGGATGACCCGAAGTGCTGATGACCCGAAGTGCAGGAATACGCCCTCATACTCTTTTGTCCTTATCTCAATTCTCTACAAAAACACCCTCGAATGACGAGAATCGAGGCTTCTTTGGTGGGCGAACTTCAAACCGTCATTTCACGCAAGCTTCCTCAACAAAACGTGAAATAGAGCACAAATGCATAATCCGTCCAGTTCTTTTCCGCACTTCGTCACACAGTTCGTAGCTCGATGGGTGATTTAGTGACGGAGGGCCATGTGGTTGAGGAGCTAGTCAGATCCGTGGAGGGTATACCCATCGGCGTCGCGGATGTTCTGACGGTGCTGCAGCGGTTGTGCTCAGAGCACGACCCCGAGGCCATGTCCGCCGTGCTGGACCATGCCCAGACATACGCGCAAGACCACTTGCCGCGGCTGCGCCGCCTCGTGTTCCTCCTCCTGCGCTTCTACGAAGCCGCGAGCCACTACCCTCTCTCTGAATTCCCCAAAGTTATGCAAGGTACCGCCGCTGCTAACGCCGCTACCGTAACCTCCGCGCTCATTCTTTAAGAACGCAGCTATTGAACCTATAGACCTGTTTGGCGAAGCGCTTGTCTATTTGTCTCCGTCACGGTTTTCCGCGATTTCATGCATCGTTGTGCACCCGTTGACTGTTCATTCTGTCTATCCTCTCATCTCCGCTTCACTTCGCTTCTCTCCCCTTCCGCACCGTAACCTCTTCCCGTTCCCTGTCGACGCCTCCCTCATACCGCACACAGCACATCCCCTCTCCCTCACTCTCTCCATGACTTCCACTCACTGACTGCCTCACGTTCCCGCTCTCTCGAAGTCAACAGTCTATCACACAATCCGCCCTGCTTCTCACTGTTTCACGTCCCCACTCTCACAGCAGCACCTCGCTGACCCCCGTTCCCACCTGCGCTCGCCCCACCCATTTCGCCCCTGCCACCCCTCTGTCCAGAGCTGGCGGCATCATTTCCCGAGGGCAAGAAGGAGGTGGTGGCAATCAGAGCCGCGCACCGAGACATCAGCGCGCTGGTCACCTCGCAGCAACTCATCCTGCAGCCGCGCACCAGCGGCCACAGCTTGCATGGGGACCTGGGGTGGCAGCAGGAGCAGAGTGAGGGTGCGTTCCTGCTGGCGGATGGGGACCTTAAGTGGCACGCAAACGGGGATGTGAAGGTGCAGGTTAATGGGGACGGGAAGTGGCAGGCGAATGGTGACGTGCGGAAGGAGGCTCTGCCTTGCACCCAAGCCACGTCGCACTCCCTCCTCCACTCTTTCCTCGGTCACCTGGGCCGTCTCGCCAGCACCGTGGTCAAGGTCCTCCCCCTCCCACTCTGCAAACCCTGACACCCCCTCAGCTCACCCTTAATTCTATTGCCTATTGCCATCGTCTTTAAGCTTTGGTTCCCTGTACTGTCTCTTTTGCCACCCTGTCAAGTCTATCGTTGTTTTGTTCTGTTCTTCTTTTCTATATTTTATTCCTTTCTTTTTTCCTGATGACCCGCTTAGTGCGATGTCAACTGTGCTCCTATGATCACTCACGGCCCAACCATTCCCACCGTTTCTCCGTGCACATCTCCTCGTGTCCACATCCCTTTCACGTGCCCATCAGGCCTCTGACAGCTACCTTCTCCTCAACCAGCAGTTGGCGCACATGCTTCAGCCCTCTCGGACCCGGAACTCAGCAGCAGCGCCTTCAAGTTTACAGGAGAAGTTTCAGTCCTTGCACAGTGCGCTTGCTTGCAGACAGGAACACGTGGATGCTGCTTGGAAGCAGCTGTGCGTATTGCAGGGGCAGGTGGAGAGGGAGGTGAGCCACTTGCGAGAGGCGATGCAAATAGCAGCAACCGAAGCGGCCACAGCAGCAGCAGCAGCAGCAACAGCAGAGCTTAGGAAGAGGGAGGAGGTACAGCACAATTGGGGGTGGCGTTTTCGCAAGCTTTGGGACGTTCTCATCCGAAAGCCTGTGCTGTCGGGGCTGTCATTCTTGCTTTCCGCTCCAGTTGTTTGCTTCCTGCTCAAAACCTGGTTCAATGGCTTCTACCGGCTACTAGGTGCAACATCTCCAAGACCCGGCCCTGCTCAAGATCCCTAGTATGGTATGCCCCTTGGCTACCCTGCAGAATACATGTACATATTTGGATGCTGTATATAGTTCAAGATGTCAAACTATTGCTAGATGTACAGTTTCGTAGGCGGCATATTCACGCAGAACACGGAAACTGAGATCCTGGTTTGACCCTGGTATACACCACCGTGGTTTTTGGCGCCGGGCAGCCTTTGCCTGCTTCACATCCTAGATACAATACTACAAAGAAAGACCCACTAGCACAAGAAAGAGGAGTTCCTGACCTATGGTACTTCAACAAAGCATCGAGAGAGAGCCTCTTCTCTCTGCCCTAGGCCCCTACCATGGAGCCTAATCATCTGTTACCGTGCCGCCGTAGTGTGAATGAATGCGTATGTCCTGGTACCGTAAGATACGGCGATGGGTTGATAAGCGAAGAGGGGGGAATGACATGCTCAACTCTCAAAGCTCCCATCACAAGGCGAATGCTCATACCATTTCCTGCCCTTGAGAAGGTCATTCAGGCAAGGGGGCACGTGGGGCATGGGGCCATCGGAGGTGACTCTGAAGTGGCGGAGCGATGTGAAGGCGGAGAGGAAAGGCGGGAGAGAGTGCAAGCGGCGCCAGTGGAGGAGGTCGAGACGAGTGAGGCGGGAGAATTTCACCAGTGAGGATGGGAGGTGCGGCAGGTCGCAGCGGCAGATCTGAAGCGTGGCGAGGCGAGGCGGGCACGTGAGATAGGGCTGGGAGCAGCCTCTGGTGATGTTGGAGAGGCGGAGGGTGTGCAGGGAGGAGAAGCAGGAGAGACATGCAAGGAAGTCCCGGCAGTCAGCATTGTCCACCACCAGAGTGGTGAGCGCCGTCAGCTGCGTCAGGTGACGGTCACTGTCATATCCCGATAGCTTTGCACGGTCCAAGTGCAGGAAGCGGAGGTTGGCAGAGAAGCCACTCTCCACCTTCCAGGCCACATACCGGCTGCCAGAGAGAGCCATGTGCTCCAGGGCAGGGAAGAGCGACATGTCGACATTGGAAGCGGGGCCTGACGTCACCAGCTGCAGCACCTTGAGCTTGTGAAACACAGGCGCCCTCCATTCGTCGCCGTTTCTGCACCAGCTATCCGTGCAAAGATCTGCCGAGGTGTAATTGAGGTAGTCGGCTCTTATGTCAAGCTGCTCCAGGGATGGTGCCACGTGTGCGATGAGCCAAGCGACGTGCACAGTTGTATCGGGGCATTGCACGCGCAGGCGACGCAGGCGGAGCAGACGGGGCAGGCAGGCTCCGTTGTCACAACCGAGGAAGAGGTCCTGCAGGCGAGTGAGGCGAGAGAGGCCGTGGCGGAGAGAGCAGGGAGCGGTGTTGTTGACTCCGGAGCCTTGTGCGAGGTGGAGGGATGGGAGGGCGAGCGATGTGAGGCGGGTGAGATGGCGAATGAGAGGGGGGAAGAATAGGCAGTGGGAGAGAGAGAGGGAGGTGAGGTTGCAGAGCGGCAGCAGTCTCTCTTCAATCATTTCAGAAGCAACGCGTGCATCAGGAAGCCCGTTGATAACGTCCTCCTCCTCCTCGTTGCTTCCTTCCTCTGCTGCAACCTCCCCTACCTCCTCATCCGCTTCCTCCTCCGCTAACACCCCTTCCTCCGCTTCATCAAGTCCCGGAATCCAGAGGTTGGTGTCGAGGCGAGTCAGGGAAGTGAGACAGGAGAAGGAAGAGGGCATGGTGGAGGTGGGGAGGTGCAGAGAGAGGGCGGAGAGGCAGGAGGGCAGACCCAGCAGCAGGTCGCCAGAGACGCTGCTCCAGCTGCTGCCGTCCTCAGGGTGGTAGTAGCGGCTGAGGGTGCTTGGCACGTGCAGGGAGAGCAAGCGGAGGGAGCGGAGGAGGGCGAAGGGGGAGGGGAGGGAGAGGCGGGGCGGCATGGGGTCTGCTGGGAGGGCGAGGGCGAGGGAGGTGAGGCGCGAGAGGAGGAGGAGGGAGGAGGGGAGGCGGGAGAGAGGGAGGGAGAGAGCGGTGAGTTGCGGGCAGCGCAGGAAGAGAGAGTCGGGGAGTTTGAGGCGGTCTGTGAGGGTCTCCCCTTGAAGGTGCAGCTGCTTGAGTCCCCGGCATCTCTTCAGCACGGCAAACAGCCCCCTCTCCATCTCCTGGTTCGCCTCCCCCCACCATCGCCGCACCTTCCGATCCATCCCAGCAGCCTTGAACCAGCCCTCCCGCCCATAGCCCCACTCGCAGTTGGCTGAGAAGCCGGGCTCCAGAAGCAAGGAGAGGGAGGTGAGAGCTGGGAGAGCGGCAGCAGCAGCGAGCAGCGAGCGCAGATGGGAGGGGCGGAGGGGGCAGGCCGTGGTGGAGACGAGGGGAAGGGCGAGCGTAGCGAGGTTGGGGTATCGGGCGAGGGTGTGGGCGAGGGAGGAGGGGGAGGGGAGCGAGGCAAACCAGATGGGGGAGAGGGGTCGCCAGGAGGTTAGATGGTGGGTGAAGCAGGTGGAGAGGGAGGAGGGGATGATGGGAAGGGGGAGGGTGAAGGTAGGGTGGGAGGAGGGGAGCAGGGAGAAGGGACAGGTGGGGGAGGAGTGGATGACCCAGAAGGGAGAGTCGGAGGGGAGCCACGAGGAGGAGAAGAGAGGAGAACCGTTGACACCTGCTGCTGCTGTCAGTCTGCAGTCTGGTTTGGCAGAAGAAGAGGAGGAGGAGGAGAAAGGAAGGTGGAGCAGGGGGACAGGCAGCCAGGAGAGTGTGAGGGGGTGGAGGGCGAGGGCGAAGCAGGAGGTGTGGAGGCGGCACCAGTGGTGCCACTCGCGGCACACCAGTCTCACTCTCGCCTGCTCCACAGGACTCTGCACCCGCTGCAACACGCCTTGTAGCACCTCCGGCGGTAGCAGCTGCACCAGCTGATTGCTGTCGGCACTGCTGCTTCTGGGAGTGCTGGTGCTGCTGTTCCGCCCATGCTGTAACATCTCTGCTGCCACCTCCTCTGGTATCAACAGCGAGTCATGATAGCTGTCACTCGCATCTTTGCGTGAGGCGCTCTCCTTCACCTCCTGTACCCCTTGCACCACCTCCCGTCCCTGCTCTGCCTCATGCTGCTTGTCCCCATCCTCTCCTCTCCACCTCCACTCCCACTGCTCCTCCTCTTTCCTCCCCACCTGCCGCCACCACTTCCTCTGCTCCTCCTTCTCCGCCTCACTCAACACCGATCCCTCAAACACACTCTGCAGTCTCGTGTTCCTCCTCCTCTCCTCCTCAATTTCGTACGGTGTCTTCGGCCTCCTCCCTTGGTGCTCCTTCCCTCGCCTCTTCCACTTCCCCTCCTCCTCCTGCTCTCGCGCCCACTCTCTCCCCTGCAGGTACCCTTCAAGCCCCACGGGGATCACAACAGGGTAGTAGCCACGGTTGAAGGAGAAGTGGGTGAGGGAGGAGAAGGAGGAGAGGAAGGAGGGGAGGGCGCGGAGCGGGGTACACTGGAAGAGGTGGAGGCGAGTGAGGGAGGAGAAGAGGCGGAGGCAGTCGGGGAGGAGGGGAGTGTGGGAGTGGCAGATTTGGAGCGATGTGAGGTGGGGAGGGCAGGAGAGGGCGGAGTGGTAGTTGTGCATGGAGAGGTTGAAGATGCGGAGGGCAGTGAGGGCGGGGAAGAGGGCGAGCGACGCGAGGAAGCGCGAGGAGTGCGGGTAGGACCCCACTATGAGCGTGCGCAGGTGGGGCAGCACGGGCAGGGGGGCACGTGGGGGGGAGTGGATCCGCAGGAAGGTGAGGTTGGGGAGGAGGTGCGGCAGGATGGTGGTTGCGTGCATTTGGGGATGGGAAGGCCATCGGGTGTCATGGATGGCCAAGTGGGTCAGGCGCGGCAGCAGGCCCATCCATGCGAGAGTCTGCTGCTGTTGCTGCTGCTGCTGCGGACCTGCATGACCTGCTGCTATGTGCCCTTGTTCTGTGTGGGAACCCGCATGGCGGCTCACATTCTGCAGCACAAGCTCCTCAAGGAAAGGAAACAAGCACGCAGCTGCCGTCTCTGCCGCACCACATGCGCCATATGCGCCCTCCCCATTCAACTCCGCCAGTGCCTCCCCCGAAGCCCCCCCCCATCCTTGCACGGCCACGAGGGGCGAGCCATGGATTTTGAGCGACTGCAGCTGAGGGCACAGCCGTCCCCACATCGCCAATGGGATGACGCCAGCTGTCCCCGTGAGAGTGACGTGGCGAAGGGAGGCTGACGACGGGGTTGCTTCGGGGCATAAACGAGGTTCTGTGTGACCAGTTGCAGGTTCGGAGCGACCACTTGCAGTTAAGGTGTGGCAGCAGGTAGGTTCGGCGGGCCCCTCACCATTGACGTGCAGATGAGACAAACGGGGCCAGTGGGTGAAGAGGGCGAGAGAAGTGGGGGAGAGGAGAGGGGAGGCGAGGGGGATAGAGAGGAGAGTGAGGGAGGAGAGGGAGTAGAGGCAGGGAGGGAAGGTGCGGTGAGCGAGGAGGGAGAGAGAGGTCAGGTTAGAGAGAGCGGCTAGGCACTGATGGTGGCGCTGATGAGGGGGTGTCGAATTGTTGCTGCTGGAGGAGGAGGAGCAGCAGCAGGAAGACGAGAGATCGAGAGGGAGGGAGGCGTGGGGGGAGAAGAGGGCGTTGAGGCCCGTGCAGTGCCACTCGCCTCCCACGTTGGTGGTGAGCTGCTGCAGGCGCGTGAGCGACCACAGCGAGGCAGGCAGCCACCCCACCACCGAGTCCTCCCCTCCCCACCCATCCTCCACTGACCCCTCCCCCTCTTCCTCCTCCCCATCCCCTCCTCCTTCCGCCCTCTCACCGCGCCTTTTCCTCCACCCTGCTTTCTTCTTCGCACACACTAGGAACGTCAAGGACCGCAGGCTCGGTCCGAGCCCAGCAAACAGGTCCGGCGAGAGAGGCTCGGAAAGGCCGGTGGTGGGGGTTCCAAGGGAGAGGTGGAGGAGGGAGAGGCGGGAGAGAGAGTGGAAGGGGCGATCGGAGAGGAGGAGGGGATGGTGGGGAGCAGAGAGGGAGAGGCGGAGGGAGCGGAGGAAGGAGAGGTGGGGAAGGAGGTAAGGCGGGAGGTCGGAGAGAGGCAGGGAGAGGTGGGCGAGACGGGAGAGCAAGGCAGCTACTTCTTCACTCATTGTGAGGTAGTTGTTGCTACAGAGGATGAAGTGCAGTGAGCGTAGCTGCGGACAACTCGTTACAAGCTGCCTCATCTGCTCCGTCTGAGTGTGCTTCTTCCATCCCCAATCCCTCGGCTTTGCCAGTTCTTCGTGAAATGGGCACGAGGCGTGTCTCGGCGGCTCAGAGACAAGGTGCAGCGACCGCAGGTTCACGCATGAGCGCGCCAAGCCCATCATTTCCGAAAGCTGCCACGCCTGGTGAGAGGAGTGATCGAGAGTCACGGGCATGTGAAGCGCGCCCACGTGCTGCGGGTGTCGCGACAGCAGCTGCTGGAGACGCGTGTGCAAGGCAGCGGGGAGCGGAAGGGGGCGGATCTCCAGGCGTTCGTCGGTGGAGAGGGAGGATTCGGAATCGTGGCCGGAGCAGCCAAAGCTGCAGAGGTAGTAGGTGCGGCGAGTCAGGCGCCCCAGCTGCTCCATGCCCATCAGCTCGCCGCTGAGGAATCGCGCTGCATGCCGCCTCTCTGCTACCGACGCTGTTGCTGTTGCTGCTGCTGCTCCTGCTGCTGTTGCTGCTGTTGCTGCTGTTGCTGCTGTTGCTGCTGTTGCTGCTGTTGCTGCTGTTGCTGCTGTTGCTGCTGTTGCTGCTGTTGCTGCTGCTCCCACATCTGCCTCGGCTACGCCTGCGAGTGCAGGCGGTGGTGGCGAGGACGGAGGTGCCAAGTCGGAGGGCGAGTGAGCGTCAGGACCTCTCGCCCAGGTCCCAACGCGTGGTGGGTCTTCCGTCGCAAAGCGCGCCGATTCGCACGTCTCAAGGCCCGGCGGATCGTCCGTGTCAAGGCGCGGCGGGTCGTCCGTGGTCCACAGCATCGCCCGCGACGGGCAGCACGGCTCTTCCAAGCGGTCATCACGGAACGTGCTGCGCGACGTGCAGGTTGGCTGGCTGTCAGCGCTGCTGTCTGGCCCTCCGTGTCCGAGTTTCACGAGCCGCCATCGAAGCGAGTGCGCGTCGAACAAGCACGCGAGCGCTGTGTTGCTGATGGACTTGGCGGTGGTCTCCGAGCTCATCGTTCGTCGCACGGCGCGCGCTCGCGAGGAGCCGCACGCGAAACGCGACAGTCGCAAGCTTTTTGCGTCTAAAGGGACAACGAGAAGCGGCGACGGGTGAGCTAGGTTCTGCAAGTGTGGGCGGCGAGCTTAGGGGCCGGCGACACAGGGAAGAAGGATCGTATTCTCTAGAAGCGAAGTAGGGTAACAACTACTAAATGCTGACTCCAAGACCTTAGGCTTGGTTGGTTGTACGGGATGTGGCATGTTTGGGCCAATTTCGCCTATTTCTGGTAATGTCCCGTTTGACCGCAGAGAAAATCTGGTAGCACGCGCCAAATGTGGCGTGTGTGGTTGGCTGCTAGCTAGAGAGATTCAGGGTTTTGCGGCAACTCCTGGGCTTGGTGGGTGCGCACCTGGGTAGTATCTAGTCTACACTGGAATCCACACTCCACATAATTCCCAGAAGGGGAGGGTTCTATATCCGGGAAAATATCGTGAGGTGTTACTCACACTCCTTTAGCCCCTTACAGTGCAACTTTCGCTTTCTTGTTCAGTTGCTCACGTAACAACATGCCAGACTGTCAAACCGTTGGACATAGACCTGCTAAAAGTGCTGCATTGCCACTGCAAAAAATGATTGGCTGGTCAGGCACACACTACACTGATACACCAAATGGCACCAACTTTATGTTAGCAAATCAATGTGTACACTTTATTACCATACATTATTGTCAACAAATCAGGGAGGCGAAAGTGGCACGGACGGTGATTGGGCCTGGCCTGAATGTGACGAGGCCATGGAGGAGAGTGACGAGGAAGAGAGCGAGGGGACAGGCATGCCATGCCCCTGCCGTTGCACCTCGATTGTCGCGTGACGAATTCCCCACTGCTTGCACAGGCGCCGGGTCGCAGCTGCAATTTCTTCAGGCGCAGCAGTTGGGAGGGCGAGGATGCGACAGGAGAGCACGGACTTGTTGAGCGACAGCTGCCACACATGCAGGCTGTGCACTGCTGCCACTCCTGGGAGCTCAGATAGGGTGTGGCGCACCTGAAGAGGTGGGGACGAGGGAGGGGAGGAGGGCAGATGGGGTGAGGGGGGATGAGGCTGTGGCAAGAAATGGAAGCATGGGGAATGTGGAGAAGAACATTGTAATGAATACATGGGGAGTGCAACTGAAGCAGAGAGGATGAGCAGGGTTGAGGAGGAGGAGGTGGCAGCGCATATGCATAATCGCATGTGAGCCACGGCTGCACATACATCCGCATGTCCACGCTCTTCAAGCTGAGGGATGGATTGGAGGTATGCAGGGGCATCGTTTCTCATCAGTCTCACACTGCACCCCCAAGAAGAGGACACCCCCAAGAATCTTTTTGTTTCTCCAAAGGCATACCTCCTCTGTGTCCACGTTGCGAGGAGCCGTCTGCAGCAGCACGGAGACAATGTCTCCCGTGATGCCCGTGGTGGTGGCGAGCACCAGGAACGAGAAGAGGAACGTGCACAGCAGGTCCACCCACTGCCTGCTCTCCCCCCACACACACCAGAAAATCACACAGGAAATCACCAGAGGGAATAGGCATAGCGCTTCAGGTCACATGTGGCTTGCAGGAATGGGGACTGAATGGCATGGACGCGACAGCATACTTGTGCGAAACAAGGGCAGAAACCAAGCAAGCTCCACAACCAAGAGTGCTTGCTTGTACGTGAAGAACAGAGGGAGCTTACATGGAAGGGTAGGCCCAGATGACAGCACCGGCGATGAGCACACCAATGGACTGCAGCAGGTCGCCCAGCACATGCAGCAGCGCGCCCCTCATGTTCACATTCACGTTCAGGTCCACGCGCATGCTCACATCCCGCTCTCTGCCATGCCCCGATGGCACCACTCCCCCCGCCCCTGCCGGCACCGCTGCTGCCTGGCTGCGCCACACTATGGACGCCACGGCTGTAGCCACGCCCGCCACTGCTGCTACAGCTGCCGTTGCTGCTGCCTCCACTGCGCCAGCTGCTGGCTCCGGGAGAGAGGCTTTGGAGTGGGTTGGTGGTTTCTTGCCGTGGCTGCAGCTGTGCGCTGGCTTTCGCTGCTCGCCTTGTCGGCTGCTCTCCTTCCGGGTGCCGTGCGGGGCCGGGGCATGGGAGTGGGCATGCACGTGTGGTTGTGAGAGGGAATGCGACTTGGAGTGAGCATGCGAGTGTGAGCAGTCCCGGTTGAGAATGAGAGGCAGGGAGGACTCGTCGCACACAGCAAGCGAGGAGGAGGAGGAGGAGATTGCGGATAAAGCCAGTGCGATGGGGGTGGTGGGTGATAAAGCCAGTGCGTCGCCTGAACCAGCATCACAAGCATGAGAGTGAGTGTGGGTGTGAGCGGCAGCATGGGCAGGAGAAGCCGCGAGGAGTGGGAGCTCAACAGCCACGTGATCAGTGTGACACCCAGATTGTTGTTGCTGCTGGTGGTGCTCGTCGTGGTGGTGGTGGTGGGTGTGGTCATGTGCATGATGCATGGCATGGCAGGGGGCAGCTGCATCAGCGTGCGCGTGTGAGAGGCTGCTGGAAAGGCCATGTGTGCATCCCGGATGCTCACTTGCATGGCCATGCCCGTGGGAGTGTGCGTGCTCCGCGGCATGCTGCTTCGAGTGTGAGTGATTGTGTGAATGCGAGTGGTCGTGAGAGTGAGAGTGGTCATGAGAGTGGTTGTGGCTGTGGTCGTGCTCGTGGGCGTGCGAGTGCGAGTGCGAGTGCGAGTGTGCGTGGCCATCAGAGCACGAGGTGCCGAGGTGCATGTGGAAGTGGGGGATGGAGGAGACGGCGCCGTCGTTGCCAATGACGGCGGGCGTGTGCAGGCACACGGCCATCACGATGTTCGCCACTGTACCGAACGCCGCGATCACGAACATGAGCCCCCCATCCACGGGAGGGTGCTCGTAGAACAGCCTGCACTCGCGGAATTGGCGGGTTTCGGCAGGGCAAGTGGGAGCAACTCGGTTAGATGCCAAGATTAGAGGTTTGGGGAAAGGGGAAGGGGGAGGTGAGGGGTTTGGGGTAAGGGATTGTGGGTGGGAAGGGGGACGGGCGAAGGTCAGGGGTATTGGATGAGAGATGGAGACAAGGCAAGCAGAAAAATCGGCAGTGCGCTACGGCTGTGAGGGCGTTGGGGGGACGGTTGCTGGTTCAAGGACAGGCCCCGGACAAGCGCATCAACGGCGCGCGAGCAAGCGAGCGAGCGTGTGCGGGGAACAGAGCAGAGCGGCGCACCGGGAGATGGCTTCGTAGAGGATGAGCGCCGTGACGACCCAGATGAGCGCCACGGACGCCAGCGCGCCCACCACCTCCGCGCGCACGTAGCCGTACGTGAACCGCGGGTCGGGCCGCCACCCCGCCATGCGCACCGCCAGCAGCGATATCACGAGCCCCGCCACGTCCGTTAGTAGGTGCGCCGCGTCCGTCATTATCGCGAGGCTGTTAGCCAGTAGGCCTGGGCGGGAGGGAGACGGAGGGAGGCATGACGGGAGCGTTAATAGAATCGGCGAGGAGGCAGCGAGGAGAGATTTAATAGCGGGAGAGAAATTAGGTTAGCGCGAAATCAGGGGCTACGAGGGACACGAGAAGGAACAAAAGGCGACGAAAAGACATATTTTCCGGCGCGTGGATTACGGGCATGGGAGGGAGGAGGGAGGGGGGAGGGGAAAGGGGGAAGGTGGCAAAATTGGGTAAGTCAGGGGAGAGGATACCGACTTTTCTAGTGGAGATAACGGGGAGAAAGGAGCAGCGTGTACGGCAGTGAGGCGCGCAAGAGCACGCACCGCCAACGACCTCGACGAGCATGAAGACGAAGCAGATGCCCACCACGAGCGACAGCTTCCGCTCCACCAGCCGTCGCTCCTCCGCCTCCGCCAGCTCCGCATGCAGCTCGCGCGCCTCGTCGTCGTCGTCGTCAGGGTCGACGTGCGTCATCGCCGCGCTGCGGTAGCACTCGCTGCGCCACTCCACGTCCACGAAGCTTCCGGTCCCGCTCTCCGCGTGTTGGCCGTCCGTCATGTGGAAGGCTGGTTGACGGGCCGGGAGAAATCACAGGTACGCGTGGTGCTGAACGTGAAGCGAGGGTTGCAGGCAATCAGGGAACAGGAAAGAAATTCCTGAAAAATGGTATCGGAAGCTCACAGAGAATAGTCAATTCCGAATGTCGTGCTCTGGACGTCAGAGTGCGGGATGATTTGTGTTCCAACTACTAATGACGAAGTATTCAATTGATGGAGTATGGTTTCTATAATCAACTAGGGACGGGCTGCTAATCCGAACCACGAGGCTAATCCGAACCTCCTGTGCAGCCCGCCTCCGCCAGTTCTTGTTTTCCTATCTAAACCGGCGGCGGCGCACAACACACTATGAAAAGGTTGTCAGAAAGGAAACAGGTGATTTACTCAGATGTTCCCAGGAAAATCAGGGTACAAAACCTTTGTTTAGGATATAAATATGAGTCTAGCTTGCTCCTACTAAAATGTGAACCTTGCTTAGATGTGCAAGGTATGTGGTAACATCGGTGATAAAGTAGGTCACTCCAGTTGGTATAGTTGCCCGAGGTCAGGACTCTGTGGTGTCTCTGTGCTGAGGTTCCACACGCGCTTCCGAAAGTTATCCCTCACCAAGAACGCGATGGGAACAGCTGAGGTGTACAGTGGAATAGGAACCTGTCCAAGGACGCCTATAGAGGATCATGCGGAGCGCCTGTGGGGCGTAGGTCATTATGCCATGTCAGCTCAGTGGGAGCGTCAGCTTTCGGGTGTGCCTTGCTTTGATCATCGAACGTCGGTGATTGGTCTGCCAGCATCAACGGCTTGGAGGTGTTGGGGAGGTGAAGTCGATTGCATCGCTGGGTGAACCGAAGCCAATCTGACGTGACCAAGTGCAGATCCCCTTTTTCCCGAAGAACCGACTACGTAGGAAGGGCAGACCCCTTCTCCTGCAAACGAGACAGGACAGAACAGGTCATAGAGAATAAGGGGCACATCGCGTCCACACATTT